AATGTAAATTACTACAGCCATTTTGGAAAATACTATAGAGGTTCCTCAAAAAACCAAAAATAGAATTACCATAAAATCCAGCAATCCCACTATGGGGCGTGTGGACAAAGGGAATGAAATGAGTATGCTGAAAGAATGTCTATACTCCCACGTCCATTGCAGCAGTATGCATGTTAGCCAAGATATAGAAACAATCTAAATGTTCATCAACAGATGAATGGGTTTTTAAAATTTGATGTATATACACATTGGAGTACTATTTAGCCTTTAAAAAAATAGGGAATTCTATCATTTGTGACAACAAGGATGAACCTAGCGGATATTATGTTAAGTGAAATAAGTCAGGCATGGAGAGACAAATACAGTATGATCCACTTATATGTGGAATCTAAAAAAGCCAGACTTCTAGAAGTAGAGAGTAAAATGGTGGTTACCAGAGCCTTAGGGACAGGGTGGGGGTGAACCAGAAAGGAGAGAGAATTTGTCAATGGGTGCGAAGTTACAGCTAGATAGGAGGAGTAAGTCCTGGTGTTCTACTGCACGGCAAGGTGACTATAGCTAATAATGTATTGTATATTTCAAACGAGCTAAAAAGAGAGGGTTTTTAATGTTCTCACCACAAAGAAACAATAAATATTTGAGATGGTGGATATGCTAATTACTCTGATGTAATCATGCCACAATTTATACACGAATTGAAATATCACTTTGGGGCCAGGCACGGTGGCTCACGCCTGTAATCCCAGCACTATGGGAGGCCAAGGCAGGCGGATCATGAGGCCAGCCTGATCGACATGGTGAAACCCCATCTCTACTAAAAATGCGAAGATTAGCCTGGCGTGGTGGCGGATGCCTGTAATCCCAGCTACTCAGGAGGCTGAGGCAGTGAGCCAAGATCGGGCCACGGCACCATCTCAGCTCACTGCAACCTCTGCCTCCCAGGTTCAAGCGATTGCAGAGGTTGCAGTGAGCCAAGATCGGGCCACGGCACTCCAGCCTGGTCGACAGAGTGAACCTCCTGCTGAGGCATGAGAATCACTTGAACCCGGGAGATGGAGGCTGCAGTGAGCTGAGATGGTGCCACTGCACTCCAGCCTGGGTGACAAAGTGAGACTCAAAAAAAAAAAAAAAAAGAGAGAATATCACTTTGTGTTCCATAAATATGTACAATTATTATTTGTCAATTAAAAATAAAATAAATTAAAACCAATGACCAAAAACCAAACCCTGGAATTTTGGAATCAGCCATTTCTCCAAGAAAACCTGGTTTCTTCTAATGGGAAATGATACTTCAAGACCACAATGGAGTGACTGTTTCTAAGTCTTTTCAGTGGAAAGAACTACATATAGTAGGTATAATGTCTTATGAGTTGTGAACTTCAAAAATCTGAGACAGTTCACAGTTAATTTGGAAAGTGTATTTTGCCAAGGCTGAGGACCCGCACCTGTGACACAGCCTCAGGAGTCCTGACAACATGGGCCCAAGGTGGTAGGGGCACAGCTTGCTTTTGTAATTTTTTTTTTTTTTTGAGACTCACTCTGTCATCCAGGCTGGAGTGCAGTGGCGCCATCTCAGCTTACTGAAACCTCCGCCTCCTAGGTTCAAATGATTCTCCTGTCTCAGCCTCCCAAGTAGCTGGGATTACAGGTGTGCACCACCACACCTGGCTAATTTTTGTACTTTATTAGTGGAGACAGGGTTTTGCCATGTTGGCCAGGCTGATCTTGAACTCTTGACCTCAAGTGATCCTTCTGCCTTGGCCTCCCAAAGTGCTGGGATTGCAGGCTTGAGCCACCGTGCCTGGCCTGGTTTTGTACGTTGTAGGGAGACATGAGACATCAACGTGTGTAAGATGTACATTGGTTCAGTCTGGAAAGGTGGGATGGACAACTTGAGGCAAAAGCAGGACAACTGGAAGCAGGGAGGAGCCTTCCAGGTCATAGGTAGATAAGATTTAAATGGCTGCATTCTTTTGAGCTTCAGATTAGCCTCTCCGAATGAGGCAATCAGATATGCATTTATCTCAGGGAGCAGAGGAGTGACTTTGAATAGAAGGGGAGACAGATTTGCCCTAAGCAGTTCCCAGCTTGAGTGATTTTTGGGGCCCAAAGATTTATTTCCTTTCCAGAGTTTATGCTAACATTTCCATTTTAAATTATAACTACAAGGTTTTTAGTTAACTTCTGTATTACATCTGTATCTCCTTTCCTCCACGCCAAGAACCCTAGTTCTCAAGGTAACAGGGGATGATAGAATTGGAAAATTTCATGACTTTCATTTACTTTTTCCCACATAAAACCAGCAGTCATAGAATAATAGTAGTAGTTATTTTAGAATAACAACATGTTACTACTGACAATTAATGTTCATAATATAATCACCGCCAACTACTGAAAATGGTAAACAATTTTGCATGTTATCCCCATTCTTACCCCAGTTTTAAATTGTTGTATCATAGCTACCCTGTCAGATCATATAACCTTTATATTCTATCATCTGCCTCCCTTTTAAGTTTTATTTTGTCTTAGTTCTACAGGCAACTTCCTCCTTTCATCTACTACTTCTCTTAAGGCATTTTGTGTATGTATGTGAGTGTGTTTCCCTTTTTTCTTCTAGTTTATTTATGTATTTATTTATCTATTTTTTGAGACAGAGTCTCACTCTGTAGCCCAGGCTGGAGTGCAGTGGCACGATCTTGGCTCACGGCAAGCTCCACCTCCCGGGTTCAGGCTATTCTCCTGCCTCAGCCTCCCGAGTAGCTGGGACTACAGATGCCCGCCACCATGCCCAGCTAATTTTTTTGTATTTTTAGTAGAGATGGGGTTTCACCATGTTAGCCAGGATGGTCTCAATCTCCTGATCTTGTGATCCACCCGCCTCGGCCTCCCAAAGTGCTGGGATTACAGGCGTGATCCACTGCGCCCTGCCTTTTGTTCTAGTTTAGTGTTAATTATTACTATAATTTTTTTTTCTTTCTCCTTTTTTTAGAGATGGGGTTTCCCTATGTTGCCCAGGTTGGTCTCGAACTGCTGGGCTCAAGCAATCCTTCTGGTTCAGCCCCGCGAGAAACTGGAACCACAGGCGTGCACCACCACACCCAGCTAATTTTTTGTAGAGACAGGGTTTCGCCATGTTGCCCAGGCTGTCTGGAACTCCTGGGCTCAAATGATCCACCCGCTTTGGCCTCCCAAAGTGCTGGGGTTACAGGCATGAGCCATATGAGTCATTCCGTCTGGCCACATTATAGTGGGTTTTATTTATTTGGGGTTTTTTTTTTTTTCCACATTATAGTTTTGAACTGCTTCTTGAGTATGTCTTTATGCTGTACTTTTATTTTTTGTAGCAATGTTATTCTGCCCCTTATTTTCTCTTTTTTTCTTTTAGTAAATTTGGAATTTGACCTTAGTATTTTTCTATTGTTCGTTCTTAAGTAAAATTAGTTTTTCTGAACTTTTTTTTTTTTTTTTTTTTTTGAGATGGAGTCTCGCTCTGTCACCCAGGCTGGAGTGCAGTGGCCGGATCTCAGCTCACTGCAAGCTCCGCCTCCCGGGTTTACGCCATTCTCCTGCCTCAGCCTCCCGAGTAGCTGGGACTACAGACGCCCGCGACCTTGCCCGGGTAGTTTTTTGTATTTTTTAGTAGAGACGGGGTTTCACCGTGTTAGCCAGGATGGTCTCGATCTCCTGACCTCGTGATCCGCCCGTCTCGGCCTCCCAAAGTGCTGGGATTACAGGCTTGAGCCACTGCACCCGGCCTTTCTGAACTTTTAAATCGTGGCTAGGTTCAGATAGATTTTGCTAACATCACTGAGGTACTTCTTTGCTTTTGTGTAAAGTTTTAAATATATAGCTGTCTGCACTTTTGAGATTTCCTGGCTCTGCTCTCCTTATTTACTTTTTATCTGGATCTCCTTTTTTTTGTTGTTGTTGAGATGGAGTTTCACTCTTGTTGCCCAGGCTGGAGTGCAATGGCATGATCTCGGCTCACTGCAACCTCTGCCTCCTGGGTTCAAGCAATTCTCTTGCTTCAGCCTCCCGAGTAGCTGGGATTACAGCCATGCACCACCATACCTGGCTAATTTTGTATTTTTAGTAGAGACAGGGTTTCTCCATATTGGTCAGGCTGGTCTCGAACTCCCGACCTCAGGTGATCCACCCGCCTCGGCCTCCCAAAGTGCTGGGATTACAGGTGTGAGCCACTGCGCCCGGCCTGGATCTCCTTTTTATGTGTTGTCCCTATCTTGATCGATTTTGATCACACACCCAGCAGTTTCTGTGTCCTGGAAGTGAGATTTGGACAGATAGTATTGGAAATTCAGAGGGGCTAGAATATCTAGAATGTCCCCACCCCTTTAGGTCTTACTGGGTTTCCTTGTGCTCATCTGCAATTAAAATGGGCAAAACCCCTTCCAGTTTCAGTTGCCACTCACGGATCGATCCATTGTGCTTTCCAGTGAATGCCTGTTGCTCTTTGGAATCTCCTGTTCTCAGTCTATCAAATGTCCCAGGGGCTCCCTTTCCTATCTCTTACATACACTGCGCCATCATGCAGGTCCTGTGCTTGATGGTGATGTGTCCCCATATGCTTGTATTCTGTGGTTTGGGGAAATGCCTTGCCATCTTCTTTTGCTGTAAATGTGACCCGTGAGTTTTAATTTTGTTGTCTAGTTTCTCTGTTTATATGTAGGGGTTGGAGAAGATCCAAAACCATGCTCTCACTGTCACGTTTCTAGAAGCCCTATAACTTTCAGGGAACTGAAATTTAATATATTTTATATGATACATTATGCTTTTAAAAAATAATTCTTCTAAAGTAATTTCAATCTTACAGAAAATTGCAAGAATAATTTGGAGACTTCTTTGTATCCTTTACTTAGGTTTCCTAATCAATTGTTAACATTTTACCACATTATCTTTTTCTCTCTCATTTTGTATATAAAACATATAAAAGTCCAGTAAAATCATTATAATCAGTAAATTAAAATTGATACAATACTAACATCGAAGCTGCAAACTGCATTCAAATTTCACTGATTGTCTCCATAATGTGCTTTATAATCACCCTTTCCTTTCTGACCCAGGAACCAATAGAAGATCATGTGTTGAATTTAATTGCTATGTCTCTTTAACCTCCTTCAACTTGGAGATTCCTCAGTTTTTCCATGTCTTTCATGTTGACAGTTTAAAAGAGAACAGGCAATTAATTTGTAGACTGTCCTTACACTTGAGTTTGCCTTAAGTTTCTCATGGTTAGATTCAGGTTATTTGTTGGTAGTGGGTTTTTGTGGAGACGTACCACAGAAGTGATGCTATGTTCTTCTCAATGCGGCATCAGAAGGCAACAATGTAATTTGTTCTGTTTCTATCAGTGTTGACTTTTATCACTTGGTTAAGATGGTGTCTGCCGAATTTCTTCACTGTAAAATTAATTAAGTATTTTGTACTTACTAGGTTAAAAGTTATGAATAAGTATTTTGTGGAGAGCTACTTTTTTTTTTTTAAGTTCAAACTCATTTCCCTTTTATTAAAGTCCAAGTTACCATTACATGGCTTGGTACTTAATAAAGGAAAACTTTTTCAAATAAGGTAATATGTTATCATCAGTATTTCCAGGTAACTGTTTACACTCAAGTAGCAATATCAATAAATCCTTGGGAAGCCATGGAGTTTACATTTTGTCAAGGCCCAGTTCCTCCGGAGTGGAGATTCCGAGTTCATTTAAAGTTGATCTAAGTTCCTGGATGACATAGGGGTAGATTTCCTTATGAGGTCCTGCTTTGTCCTAAACGACCTCTAGGATGCGAACTGCACTAGCAAAATCGTTTAACCGTCTGCATGGCCACAAAGCAACATCAATGATTTTGGGCTCTGGAACCAGATCATAGCTAACAAGTGTGTTGTTCATCCCTTTATGCAATTCCCAGGCATCTATATCTGGCTTGTTGGTGTATGTTACCCAGCGAGCATCAAACTCCTCATTTGTCTCGTGTGACCCATGGGAATAGCAGTGAACTGACTGGATAGCCGCAGCGGGGCCGGGGGTTGGGGCAGAATGCAGGAGGCCTCGAGGGCCGGCCCGGGCGGTTGCGGTCACCGCGCAGCGGCGGAGAGCGGCGCCAGCATGACGGCGATGGTGGCGCGCAGGCTGAGGATGGAGAGAAACCGGTGTGAGTTCGCGGGTTGCTCCGCATTTGGTGGGGGCCGGCGAGAGCTACTTTTATGTTATATAAATATCGCGTTCTTCATCACATTCCCCAGTCCCCACTCCCCCACTGGCTTTAGCATCCATTATTGGTTTTTTCCTGAATCAATTATTACTATAATGGTTGACAAATGATGCTATTCTAATCCCATTATTCTTTCTACATTTATTAGTTGGCTTTCTATTATAAGGTAAAGTTTTCCTTGGCCTAGCACAGTGGCTCATGCCTGTAATTCCAGCACTTTGGGAGGCAAAGGCAGGTGCACTTGAGGCCAGGAGTTCGAAACTAGCCTGGTCAACATAGACCTCATCTCTACAAAAGAAAAAAAAAATCAAAAGATTAGCCCGGCATGGTGGTGCATACCTGTAGCATCACCTACAGGGGAGGCTGAGGAATGAGAATCACTTGAGCTCAGGAGTTTGAGGTTGCAGTGCCACTGCACTCCAGCCTGGGTGACGGGGTGAGACTGTCTCTTAAAAAAAAAAAAAAAAAAAAAAAAAAAAAAAAAAGCTTTTCCTTCTCCCTTGTTTACCTATTTTATTCAATGGATAATCTGTTGCTATCATTTATTTTGATATTCAAATTGTTCCAGATTTAGCTAATGGAAGCCCTTCAAACTAGGACTTCTTCTTCTAACATGTCCTCATCATTCTTTGACTGCTTTCCTACTTTCGTGATAAACAAGATGTTCCAGGAACATTTTGTACTGTCCTTGTTCCAGTCCTAAAATCAACCATTTCTTCAAGGATTTCTGGATTCTGTTAGTGGAGAATGGTATTCAGAAGCCTCCATCTGGGTGCTGGGTGTGATCATTGCTACTAGGAGATCACTGCTTCCAGGTTTAGTCTTCTCCCTTTCTGAACTGTTAATTCCCTTTTGTGACAGAGAAAAACCCAGCTCTCATCTCAATACGCTCACTTAATTAATCTACCTGTATGTAACCAATCTCCTGACCTTATGGCTGCCTTGCAGACCAAGATATTACTTTGCAGTGAGGCCATTGTGTAGGAGAAATGAGGCTAGCCCCTTTGCTCTTCCCACTATAACTTGTAAATGCACTACACAAAGCCAGTGAGATCCTTTTCTAAACTAATTCCTATTCTTTATGCAAAAGAGAGTACGTGTAAAATTTGGGACTCCATTTATTGAATTTATTACAATTTTGTGAAATTTATTTTGCTATAAAAATGAATGTATAAATATTATAATATTAGAATCAAAATTTATTTTTAATCTGAAGTTTCTGGCTTTGCGTTCATGAGTTTGTTATGATACAATGAGAATATTTGCTCAACTGCTTTTTGGATACACAATTTAACAAATGAGACCTGACCAGTAGGGGAAGAAATAGTGAGAATTTAAAAAAAAAATTAACTACAAGTTCAATATGTTTTTAAAAAGTGATTTTAAAAGATAACAAGTCTCATATCACTTTTAATCAATGTTTTCTAAAATATTTACTACATCATTGTAAGCTTTGTTATTACTAATAATAACTGTGATCTGTCTGAGCATTATTGCTTACAAAGCACCTAACAAATATTATCTCAATCTTTTCCCAGCTCTGTAGAGTAGATGATGTTATCTCCATTTTACAGACAGATCATATACTTATTGAGGCTATGCAACTTGTTAAAGATTGCCCAACTGTTAGGTGGCAGAAACGGTATATAAACAGAGTTATTTTAACTTACCATTTATTCTTCCCTTTTCATTATTTCATTCCTCTGAATTGGGAATTGTCTTTTTTTCTTTTTCTTTTTCTTTTTTTTTTTGAGATGGAGTCTCGCTCTGCCAGGCTGGAGTGCAGTGGTGAGATCTTGGCTCACTGCAAGCTCCGCCTCCCGGGTTCATGCCGTTCTCCTGCCTCAGCCTCCCGAGTAGCTGGGACTACAGGTGCCTGCCACCATGCCCGGCTAATTTTTTTGTATTTTTTTTAGTAGAGACGGGGTTTCACTGTGTTAGCCAGGATGGTCTTTATCTCCTGACCTTGTGATCCGCCCGCCTCGGCCTCCCAAACTGCTGGGATTACAGGTATGAGCCACCGCGCCCGGCCTGAATTGGGAATTTTCTCTCATCTTGCCTGTCCTGTTTGACAGATTATAAATGAATAACTACTCTCCATGTAATTTACTAATTTTGTCACCTAGGCTTAGATCAATCAACTCTAATAGGTTCATTTATTCAAGTTCCCGAAAGTGCCTATTGTCCCCCAGTATTTATTTCCCCTGCGTTGCACAGTAATAGAATGTTTAGCCAGACAAATGGCCCCCTCAAAAAAAGTTCATTTCCGGCTGGGAGCAGTGGCTCACACCTGTAATCCCAGCACTTTGGGAGGCCGAGGTAGGCGAATCACTTGAAGTCAGGAGTTCAAGAACAGCCTGGCCAACATGGTGAAACCCTGTCTCTACTAAAAATACAAAAATTAGCCAGGTGGTAGTGGTGTACACCTGTAATCCCATCTACTTGGGAGGCTGAGGCAGGAGAATCACTTGAACCTAGGAGACAGAGGTTGCAGTAAGCTGAAATCGCGCCACCATACTCTAGCCTGGGCGACAGAATGAGACTCCGTCTCAAAAAAAAAAAAAAAAAGAAAAGAAAAAAGAAAAAAGTTCATTTCCTAGCCTACTTGTTAGGTGGGTATGGCCATGTGATAAGGGTAGTGATGCTAACAGCTCCTAGGAACCTTCCTTCAAATGTGCCCCTGTACTTCTTTTTTGTCACTTCTTCCATCCTGTTTCCTGGAGCAGAAATCCTGCCTTGTATAATGAGAATTAGGGCTCTACCCCAAGAATGTCATCAGGGTGGTGAGCTAGAAGGAGACCCCTGGGTCCAAATAACTTTATGGGGCAGAGCTACCATATCTATCGGGACTGCAAAATTCCAGACTTCAGAAAACTCAAAAGCCACTCGATGTTTTTGTTTAAGAGCATGTCGCTTTGTCACCCAGGCTGGAGAGCAGTGGCTATTCACAGGCACAATCTTAGAACTTTGCAGCCTCCACCTCCCAAGAGATCTCACCTAAGCCTCCCGAGTAGCTGGAACCACAAGTGCAGGCCACCATGCCCAGCTAAGCCACTGATATTCTGACTTGGCCAATCACAACCTAATGTATACATTCAGTATCTATCTGCAGATCCTACCTAACCAGTCCCAAAGTTGAGTGAGACTGACCATTCACCCCACATCCAGAGGCAGGCCCTGATTGCTTTAGGGCCCCTCAGGGTGATTTCAATGTAGGGCATAGGGCCATAATGGTTGGTTCAGTAATGAGTGCATAAGTCAGTCAGCTTACAGCCTTCCACTGGCCCCAGTGGCTGGTTCCCTAAGACACGAATCATGGGAGGTTTGGGAGAGGTGCCCTCTCTTAGGGAAGGATGTAGCCCAGGTGTAAACATGGAGGCACATAGCTTTAGAGAAATCAGGCTGAGGATGTGACTGGCTGGTGGAGGAAGGTAGAAATGAAAGAATTGTGGATGTTTTCCTTCAGATTCGACCAACCCTAAAACCTGCCTGACTTGTGGTCTTTTCAGAGAATGAGCCAACAATCATCCAGTTATATTGTTTAAGCTAATTTGAATTGAGTTTTCTGTTCATTGTATTCAAGGTCATATAACTGATATACCTTCCAGTGTCTTCAGGATTACATCAATGTTTAATAATGTAGATTGACATTTTTAGGGTAGTGTTTCTTGATATTTTTTTTGACCAGTTTGAACACAACTGTAATGGATTCCTATTTTATTCAGTATGTGATCACCTTTTGCTATTGTATGTGTGTGTGTATGTGTGTGTGGTCTCACTCTGTCACCCAGGCTGGAGTGCAGTGGTGCAATCATGGCTCACTGCAATCTTGACCTCCTAGACTCAAGGGCCCATCTCAGCCTCCCAAGTAGCTGGGACTACAGGCATGTGCCACTATATCTGGCTAATTTTTTAAATAATTTTTTGTAGAGATGGGGTCTCACTCTGTGGTCTAGGCTGGTCTTGAACTCCTGGGCTCAAGTGATCCCCCTGCCTTGGCCTCCCAAAGTGCTGGAATTTACAGGTGTGAGCCACCACACCCAGTCTTATTTATTTCATGTTCAAATTTCCCCAATTTAACACAACTTTTTTCACACAGTTTGTCCCGTTGCTTTATTCTCTGATTTTATTTTTCAAACCTTGAAGGATGGTTTTGTAAAGGCTGCAATGGATGTGTTAAAATTCGAATGTGAAGCTTACCCTTTCTGGAAAATCACTCCTTGGTTTTCTTATGCTGTCTCATTTCTCTACTGCCTCGTTTCTCTACCTCTTCCTTTGCCCATTTTTCAAATTGTTTCTGTACTGACTCCCTTCACAAATCTGTTTTCTTCTCCAGCTCCTGAAAAGTGCTAGTTTTTTGGTTTTGTTTTTTACATCTTATTTTTAAAATTCATTTTTAAAAATCTTGTATATTCTTCCAATGAAAAAAATTATTTCTTTAATTGACAAATTAAAATTGTATATATTTATGGTGTACATTGTGATGTTTTGAAATATGTATACATTGTGGAATGGCTAAATTGGGCTAATTAATACATGCATTACCTCATGCACATCATTCTCTTGTGGTAAGAACTCTGAAAATCTACTTTCTTAGCAATATTCAATTATGGAATAGAGTATGATTAATTATAGTCACTGTGCTCTACAGTAGATTCCCCAAACGTTTTCACCTTGCAATTGAAAGTTTGTGTCCTCTGACCAACATCTCCCCATTTCCCTCCCCAGCTCTGGCAATCATCAGTCTACACTCTTGCTTCTCAGTGTTCCAATTTTTTAGAATCCACATATGAATGAGATCATGTGATATTTCTTTTTGTGCCTGGCTTATTTCACTTAATATAATGTCCTCCAGGTAAATCCATGCTGTTGCAAATGACAAAGCTTAGTTCTTGACCCACAGATTTAATGTGAAATCTTTCTCAGAGGTGTCACTTACTCATAACTTCAGATAA